TCATGAGAAGAGGTAGCCTAACATTAGCTGACACATTATGCATGTCAGAAGAGTAAAGTGGAGAAATACTGATTCCTTGATGTCCTTAATGAATGGATAAATTGTTATTCTGGGACACTGTTATATAAAATAATTTACTTATGTCCTTATTGTTTGGCACTTTGAATTGAACTTTCTAGTTTTAATAGGGTTAGCAAATAAAAATACAAGATGTGCAGTTAAATTTGAATTTCCAATAAACAATTAATAAATTTTTTATACATGTATGTCCAATGTGGTATTTATCCCATGCAATATTTGGCACATCCTTATACTAAAAAATTATTTGTTGTTTGTCTGAAATTTCCAATGTAACTGGTGATTTTGTATTTTATTTGCAAAACGTAAGCCTATAATTGAGAGAAGTCTGCCTAATTCAGTGATGGAATGCTTTTCTCAGGTCTTACTGGGTATACTCTTTCAGAAATAAAAGGTAAAAGTAGATTTACCAGTCATAGCTTGATACATATTTGAAATTCAGCCTCATATTCTCAAGAACTAATAAAAAACAAACAAACAAACAAAAAACCTAGGATATTTTTCTTAAGACTTTTCTTCTTGAGGCTTGTCTTTTTCAGATTTGAAATATTATTTTAATGCAGATTAACATCACAAGGAGCCAGACACATCCTAGAATCTGTTTCTTTACTTACTACCTGTTTGACCCTGGTGAAATCAACTGAATCTCAGTATCTCACTGTGTGGTTATGATGAATTAATAAGATACATTATAAGAAGTATCTGGCATGTCAAACACATATTACTTGTTCAAAACATTCTATATATCTTTTCTGCATTGATTGTGAAGAAGTGACTTAAGTGTACAGTAAGGGTATTATACTAAGAAACAACAAAGAGTCACTCATTCTATGAAATACCTATGCTGCTCCTTGCCTCTGCACAACTTGAGAAGAATGAGTGTATTAACACATGGACAAATGAGTTGCCTGTAGAGTGAGGAACTTATATCACCTTAGTGCATAGCTGAGTTTTATTCTGACTCCAGGACTGACACATTTGAGATTGTTCATAAATAGCAGCTGTTATCATCTAAACTGAAAAGAATAGTTTTGCCTTTTCTTGAAGGACAAGAATCTATCTTATCCTTAGTATCTTCAGCATGTGGCACAGTAGATGCTACACACTCAAAAGGTATTTAATGAAGCATAGAAGATAGCTATAGAATTGGGTTTCCGCCTCATGGGCAATGAATAGACCATCCAATCTTCCTAATGTGTTATTCTATATTCAAATTGCCATACCCATTTTAGGACTTTTCTATCCTCCCCCCCTTTTTTTTGGTGAACAACAACAACAAAAAAAAAACAATGTAATTCTCACAGAGAAAAATATAGAGCCCATAGAATGACAGCTGTAATGTTAAGTCTTACTGGGCTTCCGTAATTCTGGAGAAGGTAAGACGTGGAGAGGGAGGGTATAGTGGCTGCCCTCAAGGAGTTGAAGGTTTGCAGATGGGATAAAGATTGCTCAAGCTGTAGACTCCAAAAGGCAGAACTAGAGTTGAGGGGCAGAAGTTAAAGGCAGGCATGGTCAGGTTGAAACTATCAAGACTGCTCAGTGAGCAATGTCTCAAATGTGGTGAGATCTCTACTGAAATTTTGATGCATATACTCTGATAATGGTTTATCAGGAATATTATAGCAGTAACTAGAGCTTTGTTTTCTTCTTAACTTGTAACATGAGGATATTAATTTTAATTTATCAACTCACAAGTGAGGGATTCCATTCAGCTAAACTTGAAGAGACCCCTTTGCTAGTTTTCTGGCATCTGTGAGGTGTTAGTTGCAGTGATTTTCAACCTTCACTGCAGATTAGAATTAACTTGGGAACTTTGAAAAAATCTGGATGTCTAGACCACATCTGCAGAGACTCTGGTGTAATTGGTGTGGGATATGGCTTAAGCATTAAATTTTTTTTTAACTTCCTAAGTATTTCTAATGTACAATTTTGAGAATCACTGAACTCATGTACTGTTAGAGAGTATGATTCTGAATTTTAGTTTGTAATCTGATTTACTAGAGATATAATGTTGAGCAACTCCCTTAACTTCTATGGTTTCATATTACTTATTTACTAAAGAGTGGGGCATATATACTTCCAAAGCACCTTCCTCTAAAATTGTATTATTCCGGGGCCCTTTAAAGTTTATGAATTATGAAAAGGCATTTAACTGAGTTCCAGAAATAGAAGAGGATCTGTTAAGTGACATGGAAATTATTTGTGCTCTTTTTGTCAGTTTTTACAGTCGTCATAGACTGCCAATGTGGAGATGTTTCTATTCCTCAGAAGAATGTGTAGTGCCAACAGCATTCATATGGTGGGTTGTATCAGCAGTTCTCTAATTTGAGCAGAAGCTGGTAGCGGTTAAAAGTGGGTTTCTCTGCTCTTCTCTATGTTTCTGGAAGACACTTTGCTGCCAGAGTTAGAGTCATCTGGTGGATGACTAGACACTGCCCTTGGTGTTTTGTGTGGATGGCTATCTTTGAGTTCTTTGGGGCTTGCTGCCTTACATGCATCTTAGTAACTTGCTTTCCAATAATTGTACGAACTCTAACCCAGAACACTGGTTCTCTTGTAGTCTTGATTTTACTTCTACCCAAATGAGTGTATGTCTCATTGTCATTTTGGTCATGTAGCAAATGAAAGGCAACGAGAGACATAGGACTCCAATTTTTTCCCCCTTACAACTATGTAAGGAGGACTCCTATTATTAGGTTTTCTCAAAAATGTTGCTTGCAAATGAAAAGACAATCTACTAAATGGGAGACCATATTCACCAATGATACGTCTATATGAGGTTAATTTCCAAAATTTATGAAGAACTCATACAACTCAACACCAAAAAGCAAACAATCCAATTTAAAAATGGTCAGACTTGAATAGACACTTCTCCAAAGAGGACATACTGATGACCAATAGACATAGGAAAAGATGCTCAGTATCATTAATCATCAGAGATATGCAAATACCTCACACCTGTCAGAATAATTGTCATCAATGAATCAACAAACAGTAAGTGTTGGTGAGGATGTGAAGAGAAGGGAATCTTTGTGTACTGTTGGTGGGAGTGCAATTGGTGAAATGCAATTGGAAAACAGAACGGAGTGTCCTCAGGAAATTAAAATGAAACTGCCTTATGACCCAGCAATTCTACTTCTGGGTATATATCGAAAGAAAACCAAAACACTAATTCAAAAGAATATATGTACCACTATGTTCATTACAGTGTTATTTACAATAGCCCAGATATGGAAGCAACACAAGTGCCCATAAATAGACAAGTGGACAAAAAAGTGGTGATACATCTGTACAATGGAATAATACTCAGCCATAAAAAAAGAACAATGTCTTACTATTTGCAACAGCATGGATGGCACTAGAGGCTATTGTGCTAAGTGAAATAAGTCAATCAGAGAAAGACAAATACCATATAATATTGTAATAACTATGTATGGTGCCAGGAGGGTCCTGGAAATACAGGGGGGGGGGCACTTTGTGAAGTGTGATTGACAACTGTGCTGTATATCGAGAAGTAATACAAAATGATATTGCATATAAACTGTAATTAAATAAAATATAAAATAAGCTGTATAACGGCCATTCTCTGGAGCATTTTTCCAGTTCATTGAGATTTTGCTTCCCTGTAATTGTTGTCAGTTTGGCTCAGATAAATTCATAAATTTTTTCTTTCTTTTTTGTTAATCCTCACTCAAGGATATTTTCCACTGATTTTTTTTTTTTTAAAGCTAGAATGGAAGGGAAGGAGGGGGAGAGAGAGAGAAATATAGATGTGAGAGACAAATGAATTGGTTGCCTCACCCACAACCCCCATTGGGCCAGCGATTGAACCTGCAACTCAGGTATGTGACCAGAGTTGAACCCGTGACCCTTCAGTTTACAGGCTGACACTTTAACTGCTGAGCCAAACCAGCCAGGGCATAAAATTCTCTTTTAAAATGTTACTTTTATTTCAGGGAATTAAGATTTGTTAGTGTAGATTTATTTGCCACACAATATGCACAAAAATAATTATAGAATGTGGACTATCATGAGGCATAAAACATCAAAATTTTATATGGAGATATGATGGAATGACTTAAGTATGGAACTTCTTACTTACAAAAGAAACTTTAGGGGGGAGGTAAGAATAGTCTCCTATTAATATTTTAATGCTTCCTGAATTTCTAGTTTAAAAAAAAATTCAGTCTCCCCCTGGCCGGTTTGGCTCAGCGGTTGGAATATCGGTCTGCGTACCAGAAAGTCGTGGGTTCGGTTCCCGCTAGGGGCACGTAGCAAAAATTTAAATAAATAAAAAAAATTCAGTCTCATTACTATGTACACAATTCCACTTAAAACTCAATCTTATTGGGAGAAAATTCTGTAAACTTTGGATTATCCGTGAAAGAGTTAAAAATATTTTCTTCCTATGCTGGATGTCCTACCTGGAGACATTTACTCTGGTATTTACATAAATGCTATTAGTGCATTATGGAAGTAGGAAAGGTGTGTGTGTGTGTGTGTGTGTGTGTGTGTGTGTGTGTGTGTGTGTGTTTAATCAAGGGAGGCAACAAAGCAATGAAAAGGATCACAGGGCACCAAGTTAGTGACAAATCACAGGAGGTGTTCCCGAAAAATTGTGAAAACTGGTTTCTCATTGCAGGAATTGGATTGCTCCACTCCTTCACCTCCCCCCCCACCCCGCCCTTTTCAAACACAAATATTTTCATATAATAAAATAGCCTGTTTCCCTATGGTTATGACCGAGCCCCCACCCCCCGGTCCCCCTCCCCCGCACCACCATTTTAAAGGGGTTTACTGCTTGGACTTCTCCTTCTGGACGGTGTCTTGCAGAGGTGAGGCGTCCCTTAAGGGGCTCACTCCGGGTGACGGGACAAGAAACACCCACTAGAATCCGACCCGGCAGCCAGGGCCCCGAGCATGCGCTGAGAGTTTGTGTGCAGCTAGCCCTGGCTGCTGCCGCTGCCTCGTCCGGACTTGGCGAGGACTTGGGAGGGACAGCGGCGCTGGGAGGTGGCTTAGCAGAGACTTTCCAGCAACTGCTGCCCAGGACTCTCTCTCTCTCTCTTTTTTTTTTCTCCTTTTTCCCAGGAGGCGGCGACGGCGGCGGCGGGGAGAGAGGAAAAGAAGGAAGCGTCTCCAGTTTGAGCCAAAGCAGCTCTTCGGCTCTGCGGGAGGAGCGTCCCAGCCCTGATGAGCCCCCTCCGTGTGTCCCCGACAGTTCTCCGGCGGGAGTGTGCAGCGGGGCCCAACGCGGACGGTGAGTGCCCGCACGTCTCCCGTCTTTCCTGCCCGCTGTCCCGCCAGCCCGCCAGTGGCTGCCCTGGGCTGTGTGTGCTAAACTACTTAGAGGTTGCCTTGCAGCTCCCCGCCGCCAGCGCTTCCCCCTGCGCCCTGCTAGGGGCGTGCGGACCCGGTGGCGGGGCGGGTGACCGTGCTCCGCTTTGTGCTCCTTTGGCGGCTGGGAGCGCGGGGTCGCCGCAGCGGCCGGGCCGGGGGAGGGGATGTGAATGACTAAACCGGTGCCTGCACAGCTGCACCGGCCCTAACTCCCCTGTGCCCCTCCCCTCCCCCGTCCCGCCCCAGGCTAATCCATCATTCCGGGGGCCGAAACATCATTTCTCACGTTCTCCCAAAGAAACTCTAGTCGTCGAGCAGAATCCCAACTCAGCGCTGCGCCCACTTCGGTGCCTCTCTTCACACTCGAACTGCGGGATGGGGTGAGGGGTGCAGGGTTGAGGAGCCCAGGAATTGTCCTAATGAGAGGGACACTCGCACCCTCGGACTCGTCGGCAGCGCCTGTGATGTCTCCGCGAGAAGATTGGTTTAGAGCGGAATTGTCCCCGAGGAGGGGCGTGGATTTAGGGAAGTTTTAAAGAGCGTCTCATCAGAATGCCAAGCACCGCCGCGTGTCCCCTGAGAACGCGTTTACCGTGCGCCTTCATTCATCCAGGGAGTCAACCTTTTCTTTTCTCAACAGGTGTTATCTGAAGGCGGTTTGGAGCTTCGGGGAGTTTAGGTTACTACTATAACTTTAACGAATCATTTTCGATGAAGTGGTGTCTCGAATGAACTCCGGACCCAGCTGAGAGGGGCAGAGAGGGGATGGGCTGGGGGTGCAGAGCGCGGTGTTAAGTCCCCTTTTCTCCCGCTCCTCCTGCAGATCGCCGCTGACTTGCTCTTGGGGGTAGGATGTGGTGAAAGAATGGGGTTTCTCCCTTCCGGGGGTCACAATGGCCAGAGAAGATTCCGTCAAGTGCCTGCGCTGCCTGCTCTACGCCCTCAATCTGCTCTTCTGGGTAAGTCAAGCAGTTCCACCGCACAAACAGGTGGGGACGGCTGGACGGGGTTTCCTTCCTACAGTCACCACATAATGCGCCAAAGGGCTTGGCTAAGTATTAACTAATTACATGGGATCACACCCTCTGTTTTTCAGAGAAGTAAATTTTGACCTTAAAATGTCTTTGATGTAGCTCAAGTTCCATTTGAAAAAAGAAATCTACCCTTGGATACTAAGTGGCTGTAAAATTAGACTTGAAGTTAATCTGGGGATATAAATAAATGCACGTGCTTGTGCTTGTAGATAAGAAAATTATGACATACTACTTAGGGAACTGCTTGTTTTCAGGAATTTCAGATAACTGTGCAAACCATAAATTGTTTCTCTACATCATCCTAGCCTATAAAACCTGGTTGTGGCAAGCAGTCTTAATATGTTCAAAAGATTTGGTGGATTTTTCTAGAAGATTCCAATCAGTCTGAAAAGATGGTTTTCATGTAATTTTTTCTAAATTGGTGAATTTTTAAGGAATTTTGTGTATGCTTTGGAAAATTCCATAACCATTTAAAGAAATAAAATACATTAAATTAACAAGTTTATGGAAATCTTTATACCCTATGAGCTACTGATTTTTATGCTTTGCACCCAAGCATAAATTTTCATTAAGAGTTTTTATGACAGGCGGGAGTGGCTCAGTGTATTGAGGATTATCTCAGTGAATTGAGCATCAGTCCCAGGGAACGAGAGGTCGGAGTTGGATTCCCAGTCAGGGCACAAGCCTGGGCTGCAGGTTCCCGTCCCCAGTAGGGGGCATGCAGGAGGCAGCCCATCCATGTTTCTCTCTCACATTGATGTTTCTCTCTCTCTCTCTCTCCTTTCCTTTCTCTCTAAAATATCAGTAAAAAATATTTTTGAAAAAGAATTATTAATAATCACATTATTATTTATACAACCTTTGAGGAGAATATAAAAATTAAAACTTTGTTGCTTTAGGAAACTCATGCTTATAGGTAATTTTATGACAATTTTGTGTTCTATTAATGACATATTCAAAATTTTTGTTAGAAATTGTAATGTGTAATTTATTTATTTGGCCGACTGGCTGGCATCAACTAGTATTTTTTTGTGGCGCTATTACATGTGATCTCTGGAGAATGACATTTTGGTTGAAATACTCCTTAGGGATGGCTCCATTTTAAGGTGACAAATTAAGCCTTGGTTCAGTGCGTAATCTGAATGATAGCTAAACTGGCAACTTTTTTTCTCTACATAAAAATTAAAGTATTGAGTAGTTAAACTTACCACTTGAAAATGTAAAATTACTACTTGATCTTATTGCAGTTTTAAATTCTAAAAATGTATAGTTTTAAGTGGGTCATTAAATTACTTGCTTAGCTATAAGGTGTTAAGATTTTGAACATTTCTCTTTAAAATGTTAATAATTATCACTCCTATTTGCTAGTTCTTTTTCACTTTTCTACTTTATGCCTTTTAATTATAGAATAATACATTTTTATATCTAGAAAGGTATTTAAGAATGACCAAATTGAACTTCCTTACTTTGTGGATGAGAAAACTTGAGTGCAGGTGATTAACTAGCCAAAGGTTAAAGAGCCAAAAGATGACAGTGCCAGGAGCAGAACTCCGTGTCCCCAAAGAATGTGACATATTATTTCTTTGCTTTTATCCTGTACTTCAGCTTTCTCACTTTGTGTGTGTCCTGATTATTGAGATTGCTTCCTCATTTCTCCAGCCCTTCTCTTCTCCCCAAATCACCTTCCTGCCAACAAAATAATCCATGTGAACTGCCTAGTGTGAGTCTTTTGTTTTTCTTTATTTCATACAAAGATACATTTACTCATACCTGTCCACACATTCTCATTCATAAACATTCACATGTACATTCACAATATTTTTTATTAAATTGTTTTTTTTCATTTTGGTTAGAATCACAAGAGCAGAATTGCTGTCAGAGGATATGTAACGACAGCAAAATAGCTAACATTTTTCTTCTGACGTTTCCTAGGCACATTTTTGCCTCAGTTTCCTAGTCTGTATAATAGGAATGATAGTTTCTGTTTTTTAGAGTTGTTGTGAGGATTAGAGTTACTATCTGTAAAGTGCATGAACAGTGACACTTAAGGACTATCTGTGTAGCAGCAGTAGTAGTACTTGCAGTTGTTACTGGTAGTACTTCTACAGTAATGATCTCCTGTAAGTAGATTACCAGGAGGTGGATTGTTCTGTCAAAGGAATCCCTGCAGTAGTAATTGTGGTAATTGTTATATTTGTGATTAACACTGCTACCAGCGTTACCACTATTACATTTTTTTGACACAGCAATCCTGTCCTCGGACTCTAGCCTCTAGAAATAAGAGCACCACTACATCCCATTATATGTACACAAATACTTGTTGCCGTCTTGTTGGCGTGATGGCACTTTTTAATTTTTGCCAATCTGAAAGGTTTAGAGCAGTGATTTTCAATCTTTTTCATTTCATGACACATATAAACTAATTACTGAAATCCTGTGGCACACCAAAAAAATGTTATATTTTTTGCCAATCTGACAAAAAAAAAAAAAAGAATAATTTTGATTCATCATTCACACCAGACAGCTATTGTTATGTTGGCTATTGTCATTTAAAAAAATTTTTTTTGACTATCTAAGGAAAAAGAGGTCAGTGCTCTTGACTAAATAATTAAGTATTGCATGTTTTGTTAATTATTGTGGTATACCAGTTGAAAGTCACTGGTTTAAAGTGTTATGTCACTGGTCTGGCTGGTGTGGCTCAGTGGTTGAGCGTTGACCCATGCACTAAGAAGTCACCAATTTGATTTCTGGTCAAGACACATGCCCAGGTTGTGCGCCCGATCCCCATTGGGGGGCATGCAGGAGGAGGCCAATCATTGTTCTCTCTCGTTGATGTTTCTCTCTCTCTCTCCCTCTCACTTCCTCTCTCTCTAAAATCAATAAAGGAAATAAATTAAAATAAAGTGTTATGTCAGTTACTTTATTTTTTATTTCCTCCACTGCCAGTGAGCATAGCATCATTTCATATCTACATGACTATTTATATGTATATGTCACTTAATTTCATAATTCATATTCATTAAATATTTTATATTTAAATTTAGTTTTGTGCTATTTATTGATTTTATTTATGTTATCTGTTGCTGCATAAGAAACACATTTTTCTACATTTTTGGTATAATTTTTTTCTAGAGTTTTATGAATTCTCTTTTATTCTTTTAAAAATACCTATCTTTCTTGTCTTGGTTAAAGATTTCTTTTTCCATACTGACTTTAAGATGGTTATACACAATTAAAAATGTCTGTAGGAGTTTTGTTGGAAATTGTATGAAATGTAAATGTTAAAGCAATGCTTGCTGACCCTTGATTTCCTACTGCTACTGAATCAGAACAGTTTTCTGCCTTGTGCTGGGCATGTGCCTGGCCATCTCTCACCTAATTCTCATAATAGCCATGGAAGATAGTTTTTGTTTGTTTTGCAAAGGGAAGTTACTCAGAGAAGTTCAATAACTTGCTAGTCAATAAAAGAACAGGGATGCAAAGTCCAATTTTTTTCTCCGAGTGAGGGTGGAGTTGTACTTCTGGACACAGTGGGGGAATTTATTTGCAGCAAAGAAGTAAACATCATCAGTAGGAAGGGATTAGCTGTCCACTGCTCACTCCAAGTCCTCTAGAGCAGTGCTTCTCAAACCCCTGTGTGCCCGCAAATCACCTGGGCCTCATGTGTGTTAAAATGCAGATTCTGATTCAGTATGTGTGGGGTTGTGCCTGAGAATCTGCATTTCTAAAAAGCTCCTCTGTGATGCTGCTGCTGCTGGTCTGAGTGCCACATCTTGAGGAGCAACTGTTCTCATTGGAATTAGAAGCAGAACAAACCAGCGTGGCATATGAACTCCACTTCTTAAACCAGACTTCATCTCCTGAGTATGGACTGAGTGATTGTTCCTGCCTCTAGGTTTGCGAGATTGAAAACCTGTCTTCATTACCTGTGAGATCAAGAGCTGTAGTCTTTTGTTCTTCATTCAGCATTTTAAATAGACTTTTTTCAACCTATGTTTGCTATACTGGTACCCTCTCCCCTTCTCTACCCCACAAGGATTTTAAAGAAAAGAAAAATAATTTTTTTTCTTTATTGATATTAGAGAGAGAGGAAGGGAGAGAGAGAGACAGAAACATCGATGAGAGAGAACATCGATTGGCCATCTCCTGCGTGACCCCCACAACCTGATGTGCCCTGACTGGGAATTGAACCAGTGACCTCTTGGTGCATGGGTCGACACTCAACCACTGAGCCACACCAGCTGGGCAAAAAATAAACATTAATTGGGAAAACACTGGGGACCTATACAATTTTGTTTTTCTGTTCTGTTAAAAATCACACTGAATAAATTTTTTTTTTCTTTTTAGCAAAAAAGTATATGTTAAGTATTTAATTTTGAAAAGTGTGAGGCATAGACATGTCTAAGAGGAAAAAATCCCAGCCTGTTTTGGACTGCAGATGCACTGCATTCACCTTGTTATGTGTTCAGGCACTTTGATTTGCCGTCTGTTACGAAGAAGCATGATCCCCATACAGCTGTGCTGGGTTTGGCAGACAGATCCTGGACCTTTTAGGTTTGTCATGAGTGTGTGGTGGGCTTGTAATGGTTAAGGGCGCATGGGACATGGTGCATGTGCTTCAATTCCCCTTGGAACTCTTTGGAGACCATGATTCACATTCTGGCCAAGATGGAGCAAGGAACTGGTTATCTTTACTTTAAATTCTTTCACTTTTACTATTCAGATGGCATGTTATTTAAATAAATGAAAGTTTTCCTCCATTTTAAAGACAACTTCTGTGGATTTAAGACATGAGTGACAATGATATTTTCTGCTCTTACAAATATGCATAAATATGCTTCTCTTTGGAAATTCCTGAAATTGGTGAACACCTAACATTCATCAAGTATCTTTATTATTTTATAAAAGTGTACTATTATATTTGT